AGTTTAATCAAAGTGCTTTTTTGTGTTCAAATTCTTTTAATTACTGAAATTCATATTTTAACTATGCAAATTAAACAAACAAACAAAACAAGAACATACCATACAGAAAGATATTGAACATCTCAAAACCCCCATACATGGCAAAGGACTTTGGTGTTCCGAAGACAGCCATTTAGTGGTGCCTAAGTCATTCTCCAGAACTTTGATGCTTATATTACCTGAAAGCACCTGCAAGAACAAATTTGCCTTCTGGCAGTGTCCTTTCCTGGTTCATGTTGCCTTCCTGGCACAAGGGGAAATGAAGCCTCAGCTCCAGTGTGGGGCTCCATCCCTCTCTCCAGATTAAGAGACCCCTGACTGTGAAGATGGAGGGCATCCAAACCAGAAACCGAAAAATATCTAACAAATCCAAAAAGTGCAAAACAGTGAATGACAAGTTGGAGGGCTTCCTCAAGAGCAGCTTGTTTAACCCGGCCTCCCTCTCCAGACACATGTCCTCTCTGAGCCCCACCTCACTGTGCGAACACGGGGGCCCGTGTAGAATAGGGAGTGCACAAAGGGCAAAAGCCTTAAGTGCACAGAATCAGAACATGGTGTGCTGAAAACAGCACATGCTGGAAACAGTGAAGATGTTCTGATTCATCAGTAGGGAACACTGAGACCATCTTCTGTCCTGTTCACACACTCCTTTCTATGCTTCTTTTGATACTATACTTAGTTTGTTACATAGTCATGGTCTTGACATTACAATAAAAGACGAGACAAGCCTGAACTCAGAGCTGCACCTACTCTCTCCTTTCTTATGGAAGTTAGCTTGGTGTAGTCCCTCTGGGCCTCTCATTGCTTTCAAGTATTTGGGCTCTGAGTAATCCTTGCATCTCCGTCGCTGAGAGGGTAGTGACAAATGGTGCCCCGTGTGAGACAACTGTACTCCATGGAACACAGACTGGCTTTCCAAAGGGACAAAGGACACATCCAACATACATTCCAGTAAGGAAACATAGATGACCACGGGGTAGCCCAGGACATATATGGCAAGGTCTAATTTAGGTCTTTTCACCCAGAGGTTTTTCTTTTTTTCTTTTACTTTCCTTTCATGGGTACTTCACTATCAACAGAAGAAGTGCAATATACGTTACAGCTTCAAGGTCTCTTGAAAGCAGCTGGATTTTTTCTTTTTTTCTTTTACTTTCCTTTCATGGGTACTTCACTATCAACAGAAGAAGTGCAACATACATTACAGCTTCAAGGTCTCTTGAAAGCAGCTGGACATAAAGTAACTGAATGTCAGCTTGTAAAACTATTACTGGTAATTAGACAACAATGCCCTTGCTATCCATGAGAAGGGAGTCTTGATTTAGAGGATTGGGAACATATTGGTAGATGGTTAAAAAATGTTCTTGGTCCTGTAAAGGCTTCTCATCCTACAACATGGAATTTATGTAGAATTGCCTCGTGGCCAATACAAAGTCCTAAAACCATAGCTAAACTGGAAAAACAGGATGCTCCCGCTGCTCCTGTCAGGGCCCCTGCAGCCGCTGCCGCCTCATGCTGACCATTCTCACAATGATGCACTCACCTTCCAGACTCTCCTTTGGAACTCACCATCCTTGCAGTTGGTCACCGCCATTGGGTAGAACCTCATTCAACGGGTACAGGGCTGTGCACACGAGTCCCTCCAACCCCTTCTACTTGCATTTTTGTGCAGGAGCAGTATTGTGAAGCCTAAAAGCAATGGATATATGTTTTTAAAAGCCCAAAGCAAAATGATGTTTGCCACTTTTGCAAAGGAACTCACTGTGCTGTCTGTGTTCCAGTCACTGAATCTGTATTCCACTTGTGAATAAGCCATTCAGACTCATATTTCCTATTTAACAGGTTCTTTAGTGCTATGAGGGGGGAAAAAAACCAAAGAACTGAACATTGCATGTAACTTACATTGTAAGAAATACTGTACATTTGAGGTGACTTTATTGCATCTGAGTATCTGTAAGAAAGGCATGAAAAATGCCAAGAATTTTAAAGAATGCGGGGTTAATAAAGTGTGGAAATTAAGAAACTAGGTCTGATATCCAAATGGACAAATTGCCAGTTTTGTTTCCTTTCACTGGCCACAGTTGTGTGATGCATTAAAAGTTAAAAAAAAAAAAAAAAAAGGAAGGAAGGAAGGAAGGAAGGAAAGAAAGAAAGAAGGAAGGAAAGAAAGAAAAGAAAAAAAGTTGTAGGCAAATCATTTGTTTAAAGCTGTGGGCCTCTGCAAAGGAAATATCAGTTCCAGGCAATCAGTGTCTTTTTTTGTTTTGCTTTGTTTTTGTTTTTTTTTTAAAGATGACCGGTAAGGGGATCTTAACCCTTGGCTTGGTGTTGTCTGCACCACGCTCAGCCAGTGAGCATACTGGCCATCCCTGTATAGGATCCGAACCTGTGGCCTTGGTGTTATCAGCACCGCACTCTCCCGAGTGAACAACGAGGCCGGACCACAATCAGCATTAATGCTTGCAAATTGCCATCGAGGACAGCCTTTTTTCTAGGCCTACATGCTTTGTGAACAAGTCCCTGTAATTGTTTGCATGTATGATTCGAAGCACCAAAATAAGAAAAGATGTAGATTTATTTCATCGTATTATACAGCCTGAATTGTTGTACAAATTTATTTACTGCTAGTGTTAAGAAGATTTTTTTGTTTTATTTTAACATTTTCCTTCTCAATTTTTGGTTGAACAAACTAGATTGCATTCAGTTGACCTACCCCCCCCCAAAAAAAGGATAAGTTAGTTCAAATTTTTCAAAATTATTGTTAAGAAAATTTTGCTCAAGAAGCTTTATGAGTGGCTGAATTTTTCTTTAATCTGTATTTATTATCATAGCCCCCCTAAAGAACTAAAGCTATGAGAAGGCTTTAATTTTCCACCTCAAGGACCATTTGGACATTCACAAATGGATTTCATTTAATTGTTCAGTTTTTTTTTAATTGAACATATTTCAATAATATTTTTAAATGTAAAATTGCATAATTTTAGTTGGATTGAAGCTTTCTCTTCCAAAAGACTAATATTTTAACTTAGCATTGTCTAATAGAACTTTTAATGGTGATGGAAATGTTCTATAACTGTGCTGTCCAATTGGTAGCTATTAAATGCCACCTGTGATTATTGAGCATTTGAAATGTGACTAGTGCAGCAGCTCTGTTACTCAAAAAACAAACAAACAATATATATATGTATATATACATATTTTAAAAGCTCACAAATTTTATTTTTTCACTTGGGAAATGCCTTCAGCCCTCTTAATGGACAGAGAAATCCACTTTAGTGGTGAAATTCTTAAGATTGTCCCATTAAAACATATATTTCATTATCTATTATTCTCAAAACTCTGAGAAAGTAATACAAGTTCATGGGTTTTTTTAAATCAACAATTTCAAATTTTCAGAATAGCTTTCTTTAGCCTAAAATTCTGCTGTCAGTTCTAAGATCATATGATCTACGCCACAAAAATCCCCATAAACCCTTACCATATAACATTGTTAGAGAAATCTGTAAAGTTTTGGTTCTTTCTCTGACAGATTCTACCTTGTACATTCTAATTGTGCAGATGTTGTCAAAACCTAACATCAGGCATACAGTACCATGTCTAGCAGGTACAAGTAACATTTTCAAGAGACACATGCCTGGGTCAGGAAACTGGGTATTTTGGAAAAGACAGGATGGAAGGTTAACCTTAGAACTATGTTAGAAAGAACCATTTC